TGTTCAAGAGTCAACTGTATTGGGGCACTTGGGTGGCTCAGTCGTTAAGCGTTTGCCTTCGGCTCAGGTCATGATACCGGGGTCCTGGGATCGAGCCCCGCATCGGGCTCCCTGCTCAGCGGGAAGCCTGCTTCTCCCTCTCCCACTCCCCCTGCTTGTGTTCCCTCTCTTGCTGTGTCTCTCTCTGACAAATAAATAAATAAAATCTTAAAAAAAAAAAGTCAACTGTATTTATACTGAGGAAGAGCAGTTTGAAGAGGCAGAACAGTGCATTATACAGACTACACTAGAAAACTTGTGTTAAGAGGACTGAGACAAATTTGTCATGAAAAGCAATTAAAAGTAAAAATCTTTGGAAATTATTAACATGGTAAATTTATTATTAAGAGAAAAAATTAAGTTACAAGATAATGCTTATGATTCAATTTTTATAAAAGCAAATAATTACACTAGCTACATTGGAAGGCTATATTAAAATACCAATAAAGGTCATTTCTGGGTGGCTGGAGTTTGTAATAGAAAAATTAAATATCATTTTATTTTTATTTTTTATTTTTTTTTAAATATTTTTATTTATTTATTTAACAGAGATAGAGAGCATAAGTAGGCAGAGCGGCAGATAGAGGGAGAGGGAGAAGCAGGCTTCCCACGGAGCAGGGAGCCTGATGTGGGGCTTGATCCCAGGACCCCCAGGATCATGACCTGAGCCGAAGGCAGCCGCCTAACTGACTGAGCCACCCAGGTGCCCAATTAAGTACCATTTTAAAACAGCAAAGAAATTAGATTTCTACCACATATCATTTGTGTAAAAATATTCCAGGTCATTAAAAAGAGATGAAAACATAGAATATTTAATCTTGGGATAGGAAAGGTTTTTTTGGGGGGCGCCTGGGTGGCTCAGTTGGTTAAGCGACTGCCTTCTGCTCAGGTCATGATCCTGGAGTCCCGGGATCGAGTCCCGCATCGGGCTCCCTGCTCAGCAGGGAGTCTGCTTCTCCCTCTGACCCTCTTCCCTCTCATGCTATCTCTCATTGCTCTCAAATAAATTAAAAAAAATAAAAAAAACGTTTTGTTTTGTTTGTTTAAACAATTAATTTAATCTGTATTGCAAACCTATGAAGTAGATACTATGATTTTTATCTGTTTGAATATTGAAGAAACAGATGGAAAGAGACAGTTGAGTGACTTGCCCAAGGTCAGAAAGGTCTTCTTATGACACAAAAATGCAAGGGTGCCTGGGGGGCTCAGTTGGTTAAGCATCAGACTTTTGATTTCGGTTCAGGTCATGATCTCCAGGTGGAGAGATCAAGCCCTGAGTTGGGCTCCACATCAGCGGGAGTCTGCTTGATATTCTTGCCCTCTCCCTCCACCATTTTTCTTGATTGTGCGTGCACTAGTGTGTGTAGTGCATGGCACACACACACTCTCTCTCTCACTCAAATTTTTTTTTAAAGATTTTATTTATTTATTCGAGAGACAGAGAGTGAGAGAGAGAGAGCCCAAGAGGGGGTATGGTCAGAGGTAGAAGCAGACTCCCTGCTGAGGAGGGAGCCCGATGTGGGACTTGATCCCGGGACTCCAGGATCATGACCTGAGCCAAAGGCAGTTGCTTAACCAACTGAGCCACCCAGGTGCTCTTTTTTTTTTTTTTTTTTTTTAAAGATTTTATTTATTGGGGTGCCTGGGTGGCTCAGTCGTTAAGCGGCTGCCTTTGGCTCAGGTCATGATCCCAGGGTGCTGGGATTGAGTCCCACATTGTGCTCCCTGCTCAGTGAGGAGCCTGCTTCTCCCTCTCCTCCCAGCTGTGCTCTCTGTCGCTATCTGTCCCTCAAATAAATAAAATCTTAAAAAAAAGTACATAAAATGCAGAAGCCACATGTAAAATATTGATGAATTTAAAATGGTAATTTAAAATTTGTTCAACAGGAGTGCCTGGGTGGCTCAGTCAGTCAAGCATCTGCCTTCAGGGTCCTGGGATCAAGCCCCCAGTTGGGCTCCCTGCTCAGTGGGGAGTCCACTTCTCCCTCTCCCTCTAGCCTCCCCCCCTACACCGTTCATGCTGTCTTTCAAGTAAACTCTTAGAAAATAAATAAAATTTGTTCAACAAAATAGGAGATGAGCAATACATTGATGGAAAATATTTTCAACATACAGAACAGGCAAATGATACTAAAATAAAGAACACCTACAAACCAGTAAGAAAAGTAAAAAATTCAATAGTAAAATGGGCAAAAACAAAATCAACAAGGAATTCACGGAAAAGAAACGGCCAAACAGAAGATTTTGCAACTTCTCTAATGATAATAAGAACTATTACTGGGATGCCTGGGTAGCTCAGTCGGTTAAGCATCTGCCCTTGGCTCAGGTCATGATCCCAGGGTCCTGGGACTGAGTTTGCTTCTCCCTCTGCCTGCCCCTCCCCCTGCTGGTGCACTCTCCCTCTCTCTGACCAATAAGTAAAATCTTTAAAAAAAAAAAAAAAAAAAGCTACTACATAAGGTTTACTAGGCATCAGGTGTTTTTCTAAATGCTTCAGCTATCAACTCATTCAATCTTCACAACCCTATGAGATAAGTACTATTTTATCCCCATTTACAGACGAGGAAATTGAGGCAGAGGTTAAAGGAGCTGCTCAGAGCCACACAACCAAGAGCACAGGGCTGGGATTCCAACACAGATAGTATATAGCTCTACAGTCCAGAATCGCTCTTAGCCACTATGCTCCATTACCTGTCCAGGGATCTCGGTATCCAGGGAAATACAAATTAAAACAAGGTATCACTTGTCTAAATTGTCAAAAATATAAAAGACAGACACAGTCAATATGGAAATGAGCATTGTCAACATTGTTGGTAGGAGAATATAATGGCGTTTTCTTTTGGTAGAAAAAACTTAACAGATACAATGAAAGTTCAGAAAAACAATTTACCCAATAAAAAAGGTGGACAATAGGTAGTTTGTTTTACTAAAACATTGTTTTTTTCCCCCAAAGGTAGCAGCAAATTCTAGAACTCCTTTCCCTTTCTCTCTTAATCCTCAGATGTCAATAAGGGCTACAAGAGGATGAGCATCCTCTTACTCCCATGCTAACTTTTTTATGTGGCTGCTTCCCTGGAGATTTAATCAGCTCAGGTCAAACCTTCTCCGAAAGCCTGTTTCTTAACACACTAACGTCATCACTGAACTGGTTAATTCACCTGCCCTTCCCGTGGGCTGATGTAGGTTCTGCTTTCTACTCTTTTCCATATTTGTCCCTTAGCCTCTTTTTTAACAGCTTCAAGAGCCCAAACTGAGGTAAGAAGTTAAACTTTCCCTTTCTGCTTTGTCCGAAAGCCATTAAGAAGATTCATTCATGTGTTCGGCAATATGTTAAATCCAATCGGACAAAAACATCGCTTCTGAAATCTCTCAATTCTCCAGTCTCCTGTTTTACTGTCTACAGCATACAAGTTTAGTAACAATATAAGTTATTAAGGGAAAAATAAATCCATGTGACAGCTTTTCTAACACTTCAGCCATCCCTATTTACTTGTAGGTGCCATTATGAAGAGAAACACCAAAAGGCACATGGAGCTATAAAAGAGGCTGTTACTAAACTTCACTACATAAAAGTACTGAAAGTTTATAAGGAATGGCATTATGCCTAGGTAATAATGCCTTCCGTTTTTCCGAAAGCATAGCAGGTCAGCTTCAATTTGAAACTTTTCATTTGTACATCCAAAGCGTCCCGTAAACTTTTTTGCATTTTGTTCTAAAATTTACTACCAACTTGGTCTCTGATGGTGACAACGCAATTAAAATTTACAGGGGTGAAATGCCTATTGTGAAAACACATAGGCAGCTCAGAGAAAAGTGCTTCACTAAATCTCCTTTAGGGGAGGAGATCTAAAGTGATGACTACAATTTCACGGAGAATAATTTGAGAATGTTCCCTTTAGTAGGCACAGGATGTAAAAAGAGATTAAGGTCAGCAGGAAAATCTGAAATTGGAATGTCCAGGATTGCATTTTTTCATCCGCATCTTATGGTTACAGATCGACACTCCATTAAAACATGAGACTTCCTCACTACTTTAAGGAGAGAAGGTTGCACAAGCGGCACTACAGGCCCGAGGCAATGATTTCTCTATCCTGCTAAATCCTACCGTCTCCCCAACGTAATCAAATAATTGCTGGACAGCTCCACCTTGTCTACGCGTTAACCACACAAACGCGAGCGAGCAGATACCTTTGCCAGGAGTCCCAGTGCAACACCAAAACACCTCAAGGCACCTCACGCACGACTTTAGGGTCCTCACTTCGCTGGACAGAAAAGTCCAAAAGCTGAGAAAGAAGCAGCCACCATCCAATGCCTCAAAAGGCCAAGACAGAGTTAAGATGAAGTCGATCCCGGGCTTCTCTTCGCCCACCTTCCTCTGCTCCAGCCCTGGAAGGAGCCACAAGTGAGGCAGAGAAGTTGTGGAAACAAGGCGGGGGTGGGGTGGGATGGGGGAACGCGGGAGAGTTTAGCACAAGCATTTGCATTTGTCCCACACAAGGTCACTCGCTCCGAGTCACTTTCTCCTGTTCCCCCGGGGGCTTCCCGCCAAACGGGCTGCTGGGCTTCCAGGCCAGCTCGCCGCGCCCCCTCGGTCCTTCCCTGTGGGCCGCAGCCCCTTCCCGGCCTCTGGGTACCGGCCGAGGCTCGGACCCAAGCCTGCCTCCCCGATACCCGTTTCCGACGCCCGGCGCTTCTCCCAGCCCAATTTCGTCCGGGGCTCCTCCGCCTCCAGCTCCGGGGGCTCCCGACAACGTCCTCGTCCTCCCTCCGGACGCCCCTTGCCCAACCTCCAGTGCCCGGTCCCGCCGGGGGCCTGGACGCCGTTCCCTCCGTCCCCTCCCGCCGAGATCCCGTCCTGGTGCCCACCTGGCGCGGCCCCCGCCCCCCGCCCCCGGCCCGTCTCCTCAGCGAGCTGCCGCCTCCCAAGTCCTCCCGGCCCCGCCCCGCTCCCTGGCGGATACAGTTTGAAGCCCCTCAGGATCTCCCTGGCCCGCTCGTCCTTGGCTGACATGATGCGGCGGTTGCCGCCTGCGGCTCTCCCACGCTGGCGCGGCGGAGCTTCGCAGACGGTGCCCAGGAACGGAGGACAGAGCCGCAGCCCGGCCTGGAGACCTCGGGCGAGCAGCTGCCGCGGCCAGACCCGGACCGGCCTCTCCCTCCCCTCAGCTCCCGCTTCTGATCCCTTCTCCTTCCCCCTAGTCTCGGAGCGCCCGCCCCAAAGCCAATGGAAAGCCCGCCTCGCCGATTGGCATCCTGGTCAGCCAATAGTAGCACTTAGCGGCTTCGCGGGGGGACGACGACGAGCGTCAGTGGGAAGGGCCCTCCCCGGGAAGTCCCGTAGGACAAATTTTTCTTTAGGTCTTGTTGCCTAGAGTTTGCCCCAGCGGAGGGTTGGCTTCAAATCTGCAGAGGCTCGAGGGGCCCGCTCCCTCCGCAGGGCACACTAGGGCTCTGAGATGACGACGGGTTGCACTGTGCGATGTGAGAGGGACTACGTTTCCCAGCATTCCAGGGGGAGTGCCCGGGGGAACCACAGATCCCAGCACGCAACAAAGAGGCCCAGGGACTACAAATCCCAGCATTCCCTGCACCCTGTTCTTCTGTAACTTAGACTCCAGTGTGCCGCGCAGTGTGCGCAAATTCATAAACCCTCCTTCAGCTTTGGGGTTTCTGAATTCGGAGACTTGAAACTGTGCGGGAAGACCCCCTTAACTCTCAGAGGAGGATGACAGCCCAGAGAGAGGTAACCTCTGTTTACATGGAACTCAGAAATCTCCTGCAGATCATGGTAAGGCTGCAAACAACAAACAAAACACTGATTAAACCACGGAAGATAATATGACCAAATGACTCCTTCAAATCGTGCTTGTCTGTTGGTCTGGGGCGCCTTTTACTTGTTTTGCAGGGGTTTCTGGTGTGCTCCTGCGTTGGACTGGGAAAGATATCGATTGTATACTCAGAATATCCATACCGGAAGGGATATTAAGAGAATTTGCCAATCCAACTCCTCTTGTTTTACATACGAGGAAACAGGCCCAGAGAGGTGAAGAGATTGTCCACCGGTTACAGCAACTTGGGACCGAGTTAGAATTCGGCTCTAAGTCTCCTGACCCGCAGTCTGCGTTGTTTACACCACACTAAGGTGGCGGTATTTTTAGCAACATGGCTATGTGATTATTATTCTCCTTGGTGAAGTTTCCCCATCTAGGTTGGAACACCCAGAGGTTAGGCAAGCATTCATTTGGTGGATTTCCTGTTAGAGAAGGAGTGTGATGTTTGTTTATCTTCAGTCTAGGAAGGACTTAGTGGTTTGATTTGTTCTTTGTTCGTTGCTTAAGGTGATATTTAATGTGATTTTAGGAACTAGGTAAAATTGTGTAAACTGAGGTTTCCTTGGACATCTACTATCTCTTTCCCTAGGCCTTCCTTCCTCTTCCCGTCCCCCTTTCACCCATCTAGGCACCCACCCAATTTTTCCTTCCATTGTAATTCAACAAAGAGCCTTTTCAGGTTTCCGGTAAAGGGTGAAAGGCATTGTCACAGCCACCAGGAAGATAACCATCTAGTCAGGAAAGAAAGGAGACTGCTGAGATTCAAGATGAGCTGCAGTAAATGTCATAAGGGAAAGGTCATCAGAATGCCACAGAGGTTCTGATGGAAAGATTAATTCCAGCTGGCAAAACTGATGGAGGAGGTGGCATTTGAATTTGAAGGATGGGTTGATTTTTTTTTCTGTTAAAAAAATTTATCTTGAAATTTTTTTGTTAATGAGGTATGATATATGCAGGAAGGGCACTGTTTTTATATATGTATACACCTCTGTCACCACCCCCCAAATCAAGATATAGAACATTTCCAGCATCCCTATGCCCCTTCCCAACTGGCACTGCATCCTCCCATCCCGACAACCACTCTTCTGGCTTCTATTACCATAAATCAGTTTTGTCGTGAATTTCATTTAAATGTAATCACACAGTATGTACAGTAGGAGTCTGGCTTTTTTCGTTAATTATTTTTGTGAGATTCATCCACGTTGTATGTAGCAGTAACTTTTTTTTTTTAATTGCTGACTAGTATTCCATTGTATGTATCTAGCAATATTTGTCTTTTCTGTTGATGGGTATATAGGTTATCAGTTATCAGTTTTGGGCTTTTGTTAACAAAGCTGCAATGCGCATTCTTATAGGTTTCTTTTTGCAGACTCTGCACTCATTTCTAGGAGAGGAGTAGCTGGCTTATACAGTATGCATATGATCAGCAACAGTAGTTGTTTTTGCCAGTTTTCCAAAGTGTTTGTATCACTTTGGCCTTCACCAGCAATGTAAGAAAATTCTAGTTGACTTTTATCCTTGTCAAAACAGGGTCTTACAAGTCTTTATAACTTAGGTATTTTGGCTAAATGTGGTATCTTTTTTTTTTTAAAGATTTTATTTATTTATTTGACAGAGAGACAACGAGAGCAGGAACACAAGCAGGGGGAGTGGGAGAGGGAGAAGCAGAGCAGAGCTCGGTCGTGATCCCAGGGTCCTGGGATCGAGCCCCGCATCGGGGGCAGACGCTTAACAACTGAGCCACCCAGGTGCCCCTAAATGTGGTATCTTATTAATCGTTTTTTCTTACATCGTCTCTGGTGTTGAGCACCTTTTCATATGCTTTTTGACTATTTCAGTGTTCTCTTTTCTAAGTGCTTTTTCAAGTCTTTTGCCCACTTTTTAAGTTAGGCTTTTTGTCTTCTTATCCTTATTGATTTGTAGTTCTTTATAAAGTTTGGATATGGAGTTCTTTGATACAGGTTTCACAAATATCTTTCCCAAGTCTGTGGCTTGCCTTTTTAGTCTCGCCCTGGTGTCTTTGATAAACAGAAATTCTTAATTTTATTTTTTTTAAAGATTATTTATTTATTTGAGAAACAGAGTGAGCGAGCGAGAGAGCACAAGCTGGAGGAAGGACAGAGGAAGAGGGAGAAGCAGGATCCCCGCAGAGCAGAGAGCCTGATGCAGAGCCCGATGTGGGGCTCGATGCTTGGCTAGATTCCAGGACCGCTTAACCAACTGAGCCACCCAGGTGCCCCAAGAAATTCTTAATTTTAATGTAGTACAATAGTTCAGTGTTTTCTTTTACGATTAGTGCTTTTTTGCATTAAGAAATCTTTGCCTACAGGGTTGGTAGGATTTTAACAGACAAATAGGAGGGAAGAGCATTGCAAAAAAGAAGAGAGAGCAAGCTTGAGCATAGGCCCTGGTGTTAGAGAGGGAAGGTATAAGTTGTGTTGGGCATGGGAAGGCCTAGAGTTTGGGCTTTAAGAGGGTGGGGCGAGACAAAGCTGGAAAGATTGGAGGGGAGCATCCTGAGAAGGGTTTTCACTGCGGCCTTGGAGTCTGGACATTACTCTGGAGGAAGTAGAGGTACTGCCAGAATATATACGAACTCAAACAGAACTTAGTTGTCTTCTCTCCACCGCCAAATTTGCTCTTTCTCCTCTGCAGCCCCATCCACTTAACACCACCTCCAAGACAGCTCTGGCCATGGTAGCCAGAATCCTGGGTGATATCCTCCTTCCCTATACCTGCCTTCAACTGGTCACCAAGTCCGGCAGATTCTATAGTCTAAATGCCTCCAACAATGTCCTTTCTTTTTCATGCCAACTGCTACTGCCTTTGTTCAGGATCTCACAATCCCTTATCTATACTATATCAATCACCTCAAGAGTTTCCCTGCCTCGGGGCGCCTGGGTGGCTCAGTCCTTCGGCTCGGGTCGTGATCCTGGGGTCCTGGGATCGAGCCCCATGTCGGGCTCCCCGCTCCGCAGGAGGCCTGCTTCTCCCTCTCCTGCTCCCCCTGCTTGTGTTCCCTCTCGCTGCGTCTCTCTCTGTCAAATTAAAAAAAAAAAAAATCTTAAAAAAAAAAATAAGTTTCCCTGCCTCCAGCTCTCTCCATATCTAATCCATTCCTATAGCAGCTAGTGTGATCATTCTAAAGTGTCAATTATTCACACTTCTCCACAGGTCAAAAGCCCCAAGTAACTCCCCAATGCCCTTAAGATAAAATAAAAACTCCTTTGCATGCTTACACTTTTTGTGATTTGCTTGCTCATTCTTCCACGCTCAACTCAAGCCTCATCTCCAGAACCGTGCCTTAAATCACCTCTCCCCAGAGCACAGGCAGGAGAGCCTTATCTGTAGCACTAGGGTGCCTGTGGCAACTGTCTGTCATAGCCAGAGGTCTGTCTCTCTCAGAGGCTGTGGACTCTCCCAGGTAGGAACTTAGCTGTATTAAGGCTTTTACCTGGTATACTGCTTTGCATGTGGTTTATAAGACCCTTGATGTCCTGACTCCAGGTCTGTAGCCCTCACTTCTCATCCTTGAACCTTGGGTTTCAGACACTCTGGGTTTCTTTTTTGCATTAGTATATGCTACACAGAGCAAGCCTCTGTGACTGTGATCTGCTGCCTTTCCCCCCCCTTTTTGCTCAGAAGATGCCTGTTTTCTCTTAACCAACATACATACTCTCTTCTGTGCTTCCAAAGTATTGTCATATCTCTCTCATAGCACTTAAAACATTAAAGCTCCCCCCCCCCTTTTTTAAGTAAGCTCCATACCCAATGTGGGGCTTGAGCTCACAACTGGAGATTGAAAATCTCATGCTCTACCAACTGAACCAGCCAGGCACCCCCACATTGAAACTTTTTGAGGGCAAGAACCTTGTCTTCTCTTTATATAACATTCTAGAACACAGAGATTAGAACAAAACATTTTTTGAATAAATCAGTGGGTTGGTGCTAGGCTCCTTTGCATTTGTCTGACTTCTGCACTATGATTCACCAAAAGCAACAGGGTTCTTTTCCTTGTCTTCAAGACCCGAAAGTCTGTGGTGTGTACTTTAAAGGAACCAGCTTAAGTGTTAAGCTTTGTAGCATTCCTTAGCCATCTTCCAGGAGAGTTGCTAAGTACCAAATGCCACGCTACTTTTGTCGTTTTGCTCACAGAGCCATTGTTGGCTCAACGCATCTCTTGCTTATTTTAAAACTTCTTCTTTTTTTTTTTTAAGATTTTATTTATTTGAGAGAGAGAGAGCACAAGCAGGGGGAGCGGGAGAGAGAGAAGACACCCCGCTGAGCAGGGAGCTCAACGTGGGGCTCGATCCTAGGAGCCTGGGATCATAACCCAAGCCGAAGGCAGACGCTTAACCAACTGAGCCACCAGGTGCCCCTATTTTAAAAATGTTTTCTGAACAGAGGTCACGAATATGGTCTTTGGCTTCCCATAGCCTGGGGTCCAAAGCCGACCTTGCCACTTAACTAGCTTTTGGATTTTTAAGCTTAGAGTTATGGTAATTCAACTAGACAATGTACACATCTGGCACATGGGAAAACTCTCAATAAACGGGAGTTGTTATTACACTTAATATGTCTTTGTATCCCGGGGTAGCCGCAGCTGCCGTAGGGAGCTCCTGAAGAGTAAAGCTCGGCCAAAGCGGTGAATTCGAGCCCAGGATGGTGATGGCGATGGTTTGGGCCCCCGCACTGCCTGGACTGCATTCCTCTCTTCAGGCTCCTCTCCACCCCGCTCCTGGGCTACGACCCACCTCGAACCGTCTCTCCCAAGCCCAGGCCGCACTGGAGGTCTGAGGCTGCCAACGCCGCGGGGGGAACCTAGTGTGGGCGGAACTCGAGTGCAGCGGCGGGAGGCTTCCGGGGGAGCCGCAAGGGCAACGGGTCGGCGGAGGCAGAAAAGCGTCGGACGCCGGGCCGATCATGGACGCTTGACAACCTGCGGACAGGCGCCGGGAGGCCGAGCCAGCGACCGAGAGGACGGAGAGACGGCGAGGGCAGGTAGGTGCCGGCGAGAGGGCGGGGCCCGGCGCGCCAGGCTTGTCCCAGCCGTCTGGCTTAGCGCCAGTCCCCAGGAAAGCCCGCGGCCACACCGCGCCGGCCCCGCCCCGGGGAGCGCGCCCCGCGGCTCCTCGCTCCCCACCCGCGGCCCTGCCTGGAGCACGCCGCCCGCCTTGAAGTCCACCCCAGCCTGCAACCCTCAGTTCCTCAACCGAGGCCGTCATCGCTTCCCCGTCCCCAAAGGCTGCCTCTTTGCCCCTCTACTGTGCATCAAAATAGCGCCCCCGCACGACGCGAATTCTTCTCCCCTGTGTCCCTGGCCGCTTCCTCCGGCCCTTCCACTTCAGAAAAAAGCGACTCTCAATGCCTCCTTGCCTCTTTGCGCCTACAGGCTTGGCGCCTTAGGCCGAGATTTTTTTGAGGGACCGAAGTTTCTGTTCATTTCTTCCCTCTCCACCCCAGGCCCCTCCATTCAGTCTCCACACGTCTGCGCTTGGAAGGGAGGTTTTCGTTCCATCACCTCTCTCCCGCCTTCTCCCACCTTACCCCATCTCTCCGCTTCCTTCCTCAGCAACTTTTCTTCCCTAGCACTTCACTTTTTCTGTTTCGGGCAAGACGTTCTTAGGTAACCCTAAGTCAGGCGACATGCTTGTTTCTCTCATACTGTGAAAGGACTGCTGCTCTATATGCCTGCCTCCACAGGAAAACTTGGTTTCTCTTGCACCAAACTATCGTTTGAATTATTCTTTTCTTCACTTTACCTCTTCTTCTTTTTGTAACACTGCCCCCAAATGTGTCGTTCTTGGTGGAGTAGTCTTTTCTTACACAGGATTCCTGCAGAGTAGGTATGCAGTGTGTGTTCCCATTTAGTCAGCGTGTGATTGGATTAACAGTTGAGGGACCCTCGGCCCCTAATGTCTTCAGGATGGCAATACAGTATCTTCATTGTTTTGTCAAATCCTTTTATTATTTTCTTGAGATTTCGTACAAATTCTGAAATCATGTTCGGTAAAATCACCTAGCATTAGGAGGTCAAATAGATTTTCCTCAAGGACTTACACAGCACGTATTTTCTTAGTTTGAATATGTTGATTATCTTTCATTATGATTTCCCCCTTTTCTTAGGCTCAAGTGCCTTCTTTGATTAAATGAGACATCTTTCTTGTCTGCTTTTGGTGGTTTTCCTTATCTGTATGTGTGGGTGGGATTCTAATGACACACTGTAAGCTGTAGCTGATTGCTTTTGCTTACATCTTCTGCCTCTGTGTATGGGCAAAATTCTCTGTTTCTTAATTACAGTCTATAAATGAGGTAGATATAAAGCAGCTATTGAGAAACTCCTGGGTGTTTCCTTGGATCTGGTCAGGTTTAAGGGCTTAGAAGGTGCTGCTGTTGGAAGATGGCCACATGGGGATGAAGTGGCTTTTCCTAAGTGTGTTTCAAACTTCTGAGCAAGGACACAATCCCTTTAACTTTAGGTGGAACCCTGCCCATCTCACAAAGTAGTCATAGCATCTGGACTGTTTTTCTTTTTTGGATACTATCAGATTAAAGTATTCTGATGTCTGATCTGGCAATAAATAAGCATAGACTTTGCAAAGGAGAAGGAAGAATCGTTGAAACACTTTTCTTTTGGACAGATTTCAAGGCCAGAGAATGGCAGGTGAACAGAAACCCTCAAGTAACCTCCTGGAACAGTTTATTTTACTAGCCAAAGGTACCAGTGGCTCAGCCCTTACTGCTCTCATAAGCCAGGTGTTGGAGGCTCCTGGAGTATATGTCTTTGGAGAACTGCTGGAGCTGGCCAACGTGCAGGAGGTAAGAGCAGTTTCCAAACAATTTCTCTGTCTTCTTTGTTCTAAACCTTCCCGTGATTCTCCAGGTTCCCAAGGAATTTCAGTGCTGAAGCATTGTGGACCTGTGAAGGGGTGCTGTTGAGGGGAGGATGGGAATTGGGGGGGAAGAGGGAAGGAGAGCAAGGATGATGTTTTGGGCTCCTTTTGGTCAATATTTTCATCTCAACTTGGGGTAGAATTAGATTGGGTTACTAATAATTTGAAAGATAGGGGAAAAATCCACTTGAATCTGATAAATAAGAAAAGTAGAGTATAAGCCTAGCTGGTGTTGAACAGAGGTACTTTCAGGCATTTGCAAGGACCAAAAAACCTCCAACGCAAATATAGACAAGACGGATTGGTCAGGTACATACCAAGCAGAAAATGTTGCTATTGAACATGAGCTGGGCCTGTTGAAAATGGCAATGTTATGCTAAGTGGATGTGTAAAAAAATTGGACATGAAAAGCTAGGAAGTAGTCCTTTTTGCTTTGTTTGCTTCTATTTGTGATTGTTGTTATTGAAACTTTGGGTATCTAGTTGTGGTTGTTGTGCCTTAAAAATGAGAAGATTGGTGAAGAATGACCCAGTAGAACAAAGAGATGTAGAGCAACCTATACTTTTCAACCTCTGCGTCTCACTTTGGATACTTTTACATTTATTGACTGATACTTTTATATTGATTGTTTGATTGATTGAAAAGTCTGGCAACATCTTTATTGCTTTGGGCATTGTGCTCAGAAGCTCTTAAAGAGTGGGTCAGCTTCCTCTTTACCGTCACAGCTTCTCTCTGGCTGCCCAGGATGGCGCTAGCTCTGGGGGTGGCCGCCATGCACAGATCAGTGTGGTGCTTCTCATGGATTGTGTGCACCATGCTGCCTGGACATTTGTGTCGACGGTGGTCCACATGTAGGAAGTGGCTGGCTTTTGCTGGCTGGTTCTTCACTTCATGACCGTTAGGACACCTTTGCCACCAGTTGCTGGCTCCATGTCCACAGCCTTGTGGTGAATCAGCCCCTTGTGGCAGAGGTGTGGGCCTTCGGGTTATGGGACTGCTGCTGCATATCTTCTTATTCTTCTTGATTAGGAAACTGAAGCAGTTCCCCATACCCTCTATTGCTGATGTATGGACCTGGCATCATCTTGTCTTCCTGTGATAAACGGAGACAGAAAGAGCCACTTTTACATTTTAATTGTGATTTTTTTTTTTTTAAGAGGGGGTTGGGGAGAGAATCTTAAGCAGGCTCCGCACCCAGTGTGGACCCCGATGTAGGGCTCGATCTCACAACCCTGAGATCATGACCTGAGCCAAAATCAAGAGTCGGATGCTTAACCGACTGAGCCACCCAGGCACCCCATGAATTTTTATTTAATGCCAGCTTTGCTTGCTAGACTAAGCTCTGTAAGGGTAAGGTCTGTTGTGCTTCCCATTGTTTCCTTAGCATTTAATATGTAGTCTGACACACAGTAGGCTTTTAGTAAAAATTTACCAGAGATGTAAAAGAAATCCTGTGAGGAAAAATTTTTATTTTTGTTTTTAATTTTTAAATTTTTTAAAAAGATTTTATTTATTTATTTGACAGAGAGAGATATAGCAAGAGAGGGAACACAAGCAGGGGGAATGGGAGAGGGAGAATCAGGCTTCCCGCTGAGCGGGGAGAGGAAAAATTTTTAAAAACTAGGTTTATTTTGGGCACCTGGGTGGCTCAGTTGGTTAGGCGACTGCGTTCAGCTCAGGTCATGATCCTGGAGTCCTGGGATTGAGTTCCACATCAGGCTCCCTGCTCAGTGGGGAGTCTGCTTCTCCCTCTGACTCTACCCCCTCTTGTGCTCTCTCTCTCTTTCTCTCTCTCAAATAAATAAAATCTAAAAAAAACCCCCAAACTAGGTTTTTTTTAAATAGGTTTTATCTTTTTAGAGCAGTTTTAGATTCATAGCAAAACTGAGAGGAAAGTGCAGAGATTTCCAATATATCCCTGCCCTCATACATGGATAGCCTCCCCCATTACCAGTATCCCCCTCCAATGTGGAACCTACACTGACACATCATTATCACCCAAAGACATAATTTACATTAGGGGTCACTCGTGGTGTGGTACATTCTGTGGGTGTGGATAAATGTACAATGACATTGTTCTCCATCACAGTATCATACAGAGTAGCTTCACTGCCCTAAAAATCCTGTGTTCCACCTATTCATCCCTCCTTCCCCTCTTAATCCCTGGCAACCATTGCTCTTTCTACCCTCTTCCTAGTTTTGACTTTTCCAGAATGTCATATAGTTGGAATTGTACAGTATGTAGCCATTTCAGATTGGCTTCTTTTACTTAGTGATATGCATTTAAATTTCCTCCATGTCTTTTTATGGCTTGATAGCTCATCATTTTTTTGACAGAAGAGATGACAAAGGGGTAATATGTTCCTTCAGGTTCCTGAAAAGCCTGAATGAATATGCCAAGTGGTTTCATAACTATGGAAGATAGGCTGAGAGGAGATGGATGAAAATTAAAATGAGGAAGACATTGATTTAGGCCAGTGGGAGAAATTTTAGAGTATCTGCTCTAAAGAAAATAGTCTTTTAGGCTTAATTTTGTAATTATCTGTCTGAAAAGTGGGGGCTAGATTTGATGGTCTCTTCCTTGTCTGTTTTAGGACCTCAAGAGGTTCTTGATAACCTGAGAAGGTAGACTGGGTTAATAGGAAGCCAGAGTTCTCGTGGGGGTGCTGAGTAAATCACCTCTATCTCCCCAGGTTTGTTTTTTTCCATGTGTGAGCTGGGAACCCTAGTTGCTTTTCAATGGTCTGAAATGATAGATGTAGTTCCTGGAAACAGTTTTTTTTTAAAAGATTTATTTATTTATTTTAAAGAGAGAGCGGGGGGGGGTTTGGGCGGAGGGAGAGGGAAAGAATCTTTTTTTAAAATTTTTTTATTGTTATGTTAACAACACACTAAATTAAAAAATTTATTGTTATGTTAATCACCATACATTACATAATTAGTTTTTGATGTAGTGTTCCATGATTCATTATTTGTGCATAACAACCAGTGCTCCATGCAGAACGTGCCCTCTTTAATACCCACCACCAGGCTAACCCATCCTCCCACCCCCTGAGAGGGATAGAATCTTAAGCAGGCTCTATGCCCAGTGTGGAGCCTGATGTGGGGCTCGATCTCATGACCGTGAGATCATGACCTGAGCTGAAATCAAGAGTCAGACGCTTAACCACCTGAGCCACCCAGGTGCCCCTTGGAAACTTCTTTTTAAAAGATGGTTTACAGAGAGGGAAACAAACCATAAGAGACTCCTAATCTCAGGAAACAAACTGAAGGTCGCTGGAGTGGTGGGGGGTGGGAGGGATGGGGTGGCTGGGTGATGGACATTGGGGAGGGTATGTGCTATGGTGAGCGCTGTGAGTTGTGTAAGACTGATGAATCACAGACCTGTACTCCTGAAACAAATAATATATTATGTTAATAAAAAAATTAAAAAAAATAAAAGATGGTTTAAATTAAGTAGTATTACTATTGGCATCCACAGAATACTGCTTGGGTAATACTACTTTATGGAGTTTGATAAATTGGAAGAGTAATGGGTACATATTTGTGAGTAAAAGAAACACCCAGTTAACTGACAACAGAGCAGAGAAGTTCCAGGCAGAACAGTATCTCTTTTTGTTTTACTTCTACAGATGGCTCTTTGCCATCCACATTAGTGAGGAATAAGTAATTTTTTTTTTTTTAAGGAATAAGTAATTTTCATGAACATTTTTATTTGGGACTGCCTGATATTGTAGTTCCCAGTCCCATGTGGGCTGTTCTGTCACACTTTATGCTGTGCTAATCTCTCCCAGCACTCATACTATTCATGTAGTGCTGAAACTTGGAACCTACCCTACACTTTATTCAGTTTGGACTGGTAGTGGCTTGTGTTATACCTGCCAACCCGGTGTGTAGACAAGGCTGCTCCAGTCCTCGTTTTTTTGTTGTGTGTGTGTATGTGTGTGTGTTTTAAAATATTTTATTTATTTATTTGACAGTGAGAGACACAGGGAGAGAGGGAACACAAGCAGGGGGAGCAGGAGAGGGAGAAGCAGGCTCCTGCTGAGCAGGGAGTCTGATGCGGGGCTCAATCCCAGGACCCTGGGATCATGACCTGAGCTGAAGGCAGATGCTTAGCCGACTGAGCCACCCAGGTGCCCCGTATGTGTGTGTTTTTTTTAAGACTTATTTATTTTAGGGGGGAAGGGCAGAGGGAGAGAGAATCCTCAAGCAGACTCCCCGCTGAGCATGGAGTCCAATGTGGGGCTTGATCCCAGGTCCCTGAGATCATGACCTGAGCCGAAATCAAGAGTCAGATGCTTAACCTAATGAGCCACCTAGGTACCCCTCCAGTCTTTGTCTTAATGGGAAGGAAGCTCTTTTTTTTTTTTTTTTTAAGATTTTATTTATTTGTGAGCGAGAGAGTGCACAATCGGGGAGCGGTGGGCAGAGGGAGAAGCAGGCTCCCTGCTGAGCAAGGAGCCCAACGTGGGACTTGATCCCGGGACCTTGGGATCATGACCTGAGCTGAAGGCAGACACTTAACCAACTGAGCCACCCAGGCATCCCAATGGCAAGGAAATTCTAAGAAAACCTGAACTGCTCCCAATACTTAACTGCTGTGTGTGTGTGTGTGTGTGTGTGTGTGTGTGTGTGTGTGTGTGTGACAAAAGCAGTTGCTTAGGCATGCTATGTGGAGTGTAAAATGTGTATTCCTGAGAGAGAAAAATTAAATTTAAAATTAAATAAATCTTATTTATTTTTTTCCCAAAGAATCAGAGTGGGAAGGGACCTCAGGGACCATCTAGTAAAACAGTCAACTGTGGCTGATGATCATCACCCTTTGCTTGAACACTGCAGTGATTGGTAGACAGCTTGGTCCATGAACTGTTTGATTTATTTTTTTCCCTCCTCAGCTTGCAGAAGGAGCTAATGCTGCATATTTGCAGTTGCTGAATCTGTTTGCCTATGGAACATACCCAGATTACATAGGTGAGTTGGCTAAAATCTTCCAAAGACTTTTCTTAATTATGTCACTCTATTTGGACATATTGCCTCCATGAGGATCACTGAGGTCTGGGATAGAAAGCATGGGGTGGGAACTTTCTGACCTGGCTGTTTCCCACTTTACTGAGCACTGTAGGTGACCTCACATGAGGTCTTTTTTTTTTTTTTTTTAAAGATTTTATTTAAGGGCGCCTGGGTGGCTCAGTTGGTTAAAGATTTTATTTATTTAATTGACAGAGAGAGAGAGAGACAGCGAGAGGGGGAACACAAGCAGGGGGAGTGGGAGAGGGAGAAGCAGGCTCCCCACTGAGCAGGAAGCCCAATGCGGGACTTGATCCCAGGACCCTGGGATCATGACCTGAGCCGAAGGCAGACGCTTAACGACTGAGCCACCCAGGCGCCCCTCACATGAGGTCTTTACCTTCTCACCCTTTATTTCTCTGTGGGTAAAAGGGGGACTATGTTTATGCTCATGTGTAAATATAGTCCTTATTTGTTTTCTAGATGAGATTCTTGAGGCTTGGTGTTTGTAGAACACTTGAAACGTTGTGAAGTGTCAGAATACCCAGTTGTAAAGTACTTAAGTGTTTTATTTTATTTTATTTTATTTTTTTAAAAGATTTATTTAACAGAGACACAGTGAGAGAGGGAACATAAGCAGGGGGAGTGGGAGAGGGAGAAGCAGGCTTCCCTCGGAGGAGGGAGCCCGATGCGGGGCTCAATCCCAGGACCCTGGGATCATGACCTGAGCTGAAGGCAGACGCTTAACGACTGAGCCACCCAGGCACCCCAGTACTTAAGTGTTTTAAATATTATCAGAATAATGTCACTATATTGATGAAAATTTGGAAAATAGGACACAAAGTCACTCATAGTGATATCACCATTAAACTACTTAACAGCATTATGTTGCTGGACTTCTCCCTTTTGTGTTTTTTATCATGTAGGTGTCATTCAGTTATGTATACGATATTGTATCTTTTCTCACTTATTTCATAGGCATTTATCCATGTTTTACATCTTTGTAGTCATTTTTAACATTCTGTAATCTAAAACTCCATATTCAGTCCATTCTGTTTTATAGGTCATTTGACTCTGTCTTTCTTTCTTTTATTTTATTTTTTTAAGATTTTATTCTTAAGTCATCTCCACATCCAACATGGGGCTCGAACTCACGACCCCAAGATCAAGTGTCGCATGTTTCACTGACTGAGCCAGCCAGGGGCCCTGATCTTTTGAATTATTTTATATTAGGATCTCAAGTATCAGGAATGAGGTGAATGCATGTGTAAATACTAACTTACCTTCCACCCAAGCCATTTTTGTTTGGCTTCCTTAGTTTTTGTTGGTATGACAAAGGCCTGCTAGTTTACTTTAATGGTATGACTCAGGGCCTTCCCTACTATATCCCAGACTTCTTTTTCCCTTTCTTTCCTCCTGGTCACTTGAACCTACCCTGTGCTGTGTCATCTGGTCAGTCTGCCACGTGTTAGTTTTTTCTGACCTTTGCTTTGTTCCAGTGAATGTGTCTTCTGTTTCCATCCTCACTAAAGGGACAACATTGCACAGACTCTGGAACCAGACTGCCTGAATTGTATTCTAGCTCCACTTCCACTACTTGTGTGTCCTTTGGCAAATTAAATAATCTTCTGTACCTCAGTTTCCTTATCTGTAAGATGGGAGTAATAATAGAGGTCCACAATCCTTTACCTGTACTCCTTGGGCTAGATGCTTCAGAATTTAGAATTTTGGGGACTCTAAAGAGGTAATAGGCATATGCCATTTTATGTAACACCTCCAAGATGTGGACAGCACCTGATGAAAACACATCCATGGTTTTGCAGCAAAACAAATGAAGTTGTACAACAAGTGGGATTAAAAGCCTGCTTCCGTTGAGGTCAGGAATTGCCACCAGATGAATTTCAGCAGCATGCCCAAGAAAAAAGTCAGCTTGGATTCACCTTTTTGGAATCCAGGATAAGGAATTGAAGGCGTTTGGATCTGTCTTTCGAGGTTGCTGTGAGGACTGAGTGGGTGTGTGTGTACATGTGCCCTGCGGCTGCTGCCATTGCCCTTGTTATCATTACTGTTAGTACTAAAATTTTGCCCATTCTTTAAGGCTTAGCTCAAACTCCATCTTTCTTTTCCTTTCCTGTCCCTTCCAAGGTGATCATGCTCACCTGCTGTCTCTGTTTCTCTAGTTCTTTCCTTTTCTCTCCTGTCTCCCCTGTCTTCCTCAGCCTCTTGCTTGCTCCTGGTAGTTTGGTATCTTTCTTCTGGTCGTTCTGTCTTGCACCTGTAGCTGTCGAATACTCAGTTGTAAGACCGAGGATAAGTCCAAGGCCCTCGAGTTGCACAAATCTGTGGTTATTATCCCTGGGGTTGTGTAGTGCAGCAGACCTGGCAAGGTCCATCTTATCTATCCTTTTTTTTTTTTTTTTTTTTAAGTTCATTTAACAGAGAGAGACAGCGAGAGAGGGAACACAAGCAGGGGGAGTGGGAGAGGGAGAAGCAGGCTTCCCGTGGAGCAGGGAGCCCGATGCGGGGCTCGATCCCAGGACCCCAGGACCATGACCCGAGCCGAAGGCAGACGCTTAACGACTGAGCCCCCCAGGCGCCCCCATCTTATCTATCCTTGACTTCCCTGAATCACTTAAGACAGTGCATTGCACATAACAGATTCCCAGCAAAGATATGCTGACCTTGGTTGAATGTCACACAGGGCACAGATAGTATTCCCATCATTTTGTGCATTCATGCCTGGCTTTTCAGGAGCACATGGTCTTCCAGAGAAGACAGGAGGTGCTCATGGAACATTTGCCTCATGAATAAGTGCAGAGTCATGACAGTGAATCAACAGATTTGGTGTGGGGAGTTGGTGAGCTTATTCCATAAAGAAATTCTAATTTTATTTTGTGTTTTGATTTTTGTGGTGGGTGGGACTGAGCAGCCAACAAGGAGAGCCTGCCAGAACTGAGCACAGCTCAACAGAACAAGCTGAAACACCTTACCATCGTGAGCTTGGCGTCGAGAATGAAGGTACAGTGCCGAACCTCTTCCTGTCTCGCTCCTCACTGGCTTCGGTGCACGAGCTCCCAGCTGTGCATAGTCGTCATACCATGGATGCATAAAATTGGCTTGGCAAAGGACAACAGAGATAAAGATAACCATTAAAATAGTGTAGATAATTACTCACCATTTCATTCAGGAAAAGTATGCCCAGGAGACCTTGTGAATCAGCAGGTCTCAGTTCTGGTATGCTGCAGTGACTCACTTGGTGTGAGCATTTTGCCATACCAAAGGGAGACTGCTGTTTCAAGATAGGTAGTTTTTCAGATGGGAAAACTTTGCCTAAAGATTTTATTTATTCATATGACAAAGAGAGGCACAGCAAGAGAGGGAACACAAGCAGGGGGAGTGGGGGAGGGAGAAGCAGGACCCCCCACCGAGCAGGGAGCCCGACGTGGGGCTTGATCCCAGGACCCCGAAATCACGACCCAAGCCGAAGGTAGACGTTTAACGACTGAGCCACCCAGGTGCCCCGAGAGCTAGATTTTTATTTTTATTTGTTTATTTTTTTAAAAGATTTTATTTATTTATTTGACAGAGAGTTAGCAAGAGCAGGAACACAAGAGGGGGAGTGGGAGAGGGAGAAGCCGGCCTCCCACGGAGCAGGGAGCCCGATGTGGAGCTCAATCCCAGGACCCTGGGACCATGACCTGAGCTGAAGGCAGACGCTTAATGACTGAGCCACCCAGGCACCCCAAGAGCTAGATTTTTAACATGCTGCCTTCTTCTGGGGGTTGTCAAGCTTAATTATCTTAATCAGGATTTTTGCCTTACATGCTCTCTTTAGACGCTAACCTTCTGTAAGATAACCTCTCCATCGTATCTCTTAGTCCTCTGCCCCACTCCATTTAGAAGAGGCCTTGCAGCCAGCTTCTCGTAGCCATTAACAAAGAAAATCCAGATTTGGTTAATTTACAGTTGATTTTGGCTCTCTGCCCAATCCCAGCATAACTGTCTAAGTTTCTGTGGGGCTTTGGAGGTTTGCCCTTTGCATTTCCCCTCCTGTGACTGAGCTTGAGAGATGTAGATTTGTTCTTGCATTGCCATTTCAGTTGCTGAGATCATTTTCCCTGGTCTAATAACAAATTTCTTGATTCTCAGCCTGGCATTTCAGGTGGGAGGCCTGTTTTCTTAGGAAATGAGGACTTGATCCCCCCTCCTTTTTTTTTTGGCCTGATCATGGACTTCCCAAGTGTAGCAAAGAGTAGGAGTAACTTTTTTCCTTATCTCTGCAACCTGTCATTATAAGCCCATCTACATCCCTGAGTTTCAGACCTTTAGTCATAGAAAACCCCTCTAGGTATGTTTGCTGTTATTTTCTTGTTTGTATACTTCTTCGTCCTATCTGTTTTTGAGATTTGATTGCTGTATTAACCTCCAAATTAGTAGTGATGTGTCCAGAAAACTAGATATTTAGATATAGAGTTGTCTTAGATAAATGTAAAATGTTGGTATAGCCCAATAAGGGACTGCTGTTGGGGAATTGACATTGGTTGTAAGAGTCTGAGAAAACAGATGTAAACTTCAGGATGACCCCTGAGTTGGCAGTACCCCCCTGGCCACCTGTACATATGTTAGCCTGCAAATTTTTTTGCTTGTGCTCTCCTGGGCAGGCAGCCAGTTCTCCTCTTCAGTGTCTGAAATTGTGTGGGAGTTTTATGATGATCTGGCATTTTATGTCAAGTCTGCAAGCTTCCAGAAGGTGGTAGAGTGGCACACACCGAGTATTTCCCTTTCTCTTCTGGGACACTAAGAGTGCTTCACAACATCAAAACTAAAAGCTGGGTGAAGTCCAGGAGGTAGAGAATCTAGGAGAATGCATTCCTAGATGCTGTGGGTCTTGTTTCAGTCCCATAGGTCTCACAGCTCACATTTATCTATGTCTTGTTGCCAGAGTTATTAATAATTACCACCAGACTGCATTTCCCAAACCCTTGAGACAGGTGTACACCTGCATTTTCTTTAGCGCTTGTCAGTGGTTTTTGTAAATATCACATGGCTTTATCTGCAGTGTATCCCCTACTCCGTGCTGCTGAGGGACTTGGAGATGCGGAATCTCCGGGAACTGGAAGACCTCATCATTGAGGCTGTGTACACTGACATCATCCAGGGGAAGCTGGACCAGCGAAACCAGCTGCTGGAAGTGGATTTCTGCATTGGCCGTGACATCCGAAAGAAGGATATCAATAATATTGTCAAGACCTTGCATGAATGGTGAGACTGAAAGGAGGGGTCCCCCCTCGTTAGGGAGGGGGACATACGGCGTGCCCTCTGTGCCTCTGCTTCGGGAAATGTTGTCTCCCAGTATCAGCTGGGGCTGCTTGGGAGCTGGAGCCTTAGGACAGTAAGCCAGGGAGTGGGGCTGCATTTGTGACCAGAGCTGTGTGGCAGCAGGAATCCCTGCAGGCCTCCCAGGGCCTTAGTGGTAAAATAGTTCTCATCCTGCTACAGCGGGGGGGCTGTTTAATAGCAGGCTTGGCAGGTGGAGCCTCTGAAGCCTAGCCATGTGACATGGATCCAGTGCTTTCCAAACTCAGCGTCCGAGTTTGACCAAGCTCAGGAAGTTAGTGTTGATCAGATTCTGTGGATATGAGAACTCACGCTCAGTGTCGGTAACTTTGGGCTAGTGTTGGTAAAACATTGTGAGGAATAGTGAAGAGAAGGAGTGGGTTATTCTAAGTTGGAACACAGATGCACACACAGACTATTTGATAACCATATTCTGGTATATAAAACGAAGTGGGACATTTGTGGGGCACCTGGGTGGCTCAGTTGTTAAGCGTCTGCCTTCGGCTCAGGTCATGATCCCAGGGTCCTGGGATCGAGCCCCGCATCGGGCTCCCTGCTCAGTGGGGAGCCTGCTTCTCCCTCTCCCATTCCCCCTGCTTCTGTTCTCTCTCTCACTGTGTCTCTCTCTGTCAAATAAATAAATAAAATCTTAAAAAAAAAAAAAGTGGGACATTTGCATGTTCTCTATTTTATTTTTGTGTTTTTTTTTTGCATGTTCTCTATTTTAATGGAATTTGATGTTTGCAAGAGCTTTGGACATCCTACAAGGATTTGTTACGGAGTTATTAAAATAATTTGGAGCTTATAAAGCCAGATGAGCCTAGTTGGAGAAGAGATTTTAGCTGAGTTTTGAAGGAGGGCTGGGTTAGTGAGAGTTGGAGGTGAGGAGAGCATGTTCCCAGGCAGGCACGGGGTGTTGTTGGAAATCATGAAGCAGAGCAGGCAAGCTTTGTGCAGAGGGTTAGGGAAATTGTCTTCTTTAAAATAGACTGAAACATTTCAGGCATGAGTGGCCCAGCTTTGACTCCCTGACCCCCTGTCCAGACCCTGCCAAGTGTCCCTCCCTTCAGCTACTATTGGACCCCAGGGCATGTACTGTCCACTCCTTACCCCAGGTTCTGTCCCAAGTGGGGCCTCAAACACCTTGCCTTTACAACATCTGACACAGGCAGGAACTTTCAAAAGATTTAAAAGTGTTCAATCAGAATAAATAGGAAATAAACTTAGAAAACACCCCTTGCGTGAAAGTGCCCTGGCACAGAAATCTAGGCCTCCAGTCCTCCTGTGTCGGCTGCCTTACTCCATCTTTGAGATGACTGATGCTGTTTTCATGCCCCGAGTCTGGCTTCATTGGGTTTCTACCCAGAGGTGCCATCCTAACGCCATCCCAGGATGTTTAGTAGTACAGACTCTTAAAGCTTGTGTTGAAGCACTGGAGTTAGATTTGAAACAAAATTGTTAGGTAGAGCAGTACTCCAAATATGACAGAATGTTTGCAATTACTTATTTTAAGGTGGAGGGTAAATGTGTATTCATTGTACTATTCTTTCAACTTTTTTTTAGGTTTTAACATTTCCAAAACAAAAAGTGGGGAAATGAAATAATGAGGGGGATGACAATTAGGAAGTAACAAACTTTTTTTAAAGATTTTATTTATTAAGTGTGTGTGAGCAGGGGGAGGAGCAGAGGTAGAGGGACAAACAGACTGCATTGAGCATGGAGCCCCATGCAGGTCTCAATCCCAGGACCTCAGATCATGACCTGAGCCTAAATCAACAGCCGAAGGGGGCGCCTGAGTGGCACAGCTCGTTAAGTGTCTGCCTTCTGCTCAGGTCATGATCTCAGGGTCTTGGGATTGAGACCTGCATTGGGCTCCCTGCTCAGCAGGGAGTCTGTTTTTCCCTCTCCCTCTGACCCTCCTCCCCGCTTGTGCTCTCTCTCTGTCTCAAATAAATAAATTAAATCTAAAAAAAAAAATCAAGAGCCGGATGCTCAACTGACTGAGCCACCCAGGCGTCCCAGAAGTAATAAACTTCTGAGAAAAGGGGCAATTTTTAAAATAGGATGCTTTTAGGGGCGCCTGGGTGACTCAATCGGTTAAGCGTCTGCCTTTGGCTCAGGTCATGATCCCGGGGTCCTTGGATCAATCTCCTCATTGGGCTTCCTGCTCAGTGGGGAGCCTGCTTCTTCCTCTCCCTCTGCTGCTTCCCTTACTTGTGCTCTCTCTCTCTCTGTCAAATAAATACATTTTTAAAAATCTGAGGGCGCCTGGGTGGCTCAGTTGGTTAAGCAACTGCCTTCAGCTCGGGTCATGATCCCGGAGTCCTGGGATCGAGTCCCACATCAGGTTCCCGGCTCAGCGGGGAGCCTGCTTCTCCCTCTGACCCTCTCCACTCTCATGCTGTTTCTCTCTCTCTCTCTTTAAAAAAAAAAAAAAAAAAAAAAAAATCTTAAAAAAAAATTGGATGCTTATAGAAAATCATTTTTCTGTTGAGAAAAGTGGTGAATCCGTGCCACCTGTAAAGTCTGTCCTAATTCCCTTGGGGGTACAGTCTGTGAAACTTTCCCATGGGATACAAAGGTTGACATTCAAGCTGTGTTCTAGGAAACCATCCCACATCCTCCATGTTTGTCTCCAGGTGCCCTGTGTTACATATTCAGAAATACTGGTCTTGGAAGGAGTGAAGGGCAGGAGCCTTCCTTGGCAGACAGGGTGTTAAAGGAAGTCCCTATCGGGTGTTGGGGACAGAGGTTTTGGAGGCTGGAGGAGAGCTCCCAGGCCTTTCTGTGGCTCAGGGCTGGTTATCTCCGTTGTAGGTGCGATGGCTGCGAAGCGGTTCTGCTAGGCATCGAGCAGCAAGTTCTGCGAGCCAACCAGTACAAGGAGAACCACAGCCGAACTCAGCAGCAGGTAGAGGCGGAGGTAAGGAGGACATCTGTTACCTGCTCCGGGGAATCCCTGTTTGCTCCTTCATTTTCTTGGTGTAGGCGCAGCAGCCACTAACAGACAGGCACCAGGCTAGTGGGGTACAGATGCGGATGATGTGGTCCTTACTTTTCATGCTCTCTGTCTCCTTTCTGATTCCTGGTTGCCGGAGGGTGAGCGGGCTCGGAGAGCGGAGAATGTTGTCATTTCACGGTATACATGTACTTTGCAGCTGTAGAGCAAAAGAAATGAATTTGGGGTGGGTCTTAAAGATGGGTGAAGGGGGTGATGCAGTGGGGCAGGTTCAAGGCCTTGGTTCTGTTCTGCTGCTGAAGCTGTGTGGTAGGTGCACTGTGTGCATTTTATTCTTTAAGCTACGCGTGTGTGTTATAACCTTTTAACATGCATGATAGATTTCATGTTGAAAAAGGAAGGAAGGGGAAACATTTGGCAGATGAAATGCAAGTGAAAGTGTGTTATTATGGTTTTAGTGACACCTAGTTGTTCCGGACACAATTAGCCTCTCAAAACACAGGTTCTAGCCTTCGGGTTAATGGGACCTCGTGTGCTTGTGGCCTGGTGACTTGCGACCTCAGAATTCAGAGCCATAAGCTAAAAATTGTAGCATTGGAAGTTCTTTTCTGATATGATGGAGCTTGAAGTGTTCATGGTATTTATAGAGTTTTCTAAGTCGTGTGTCCAGGAATATGGCAGAATGGGACCCAGAGTTAACGTTCTTAAGAAACAAAAGAAAAGTAGATATGCCTTTCAAAGGGGGATTTGTGAAATCTGAGGATTTCCCTTACTCTGTTATATGTACTCCTTGAGAATAAAACCTGTCTTAATTATCTTTGTAAGACCAGCTTCTTGTCACATGCCTAACCATAGTAGATGCTCACATTGTTGTACTGAATATTTTTGTGTGTCTGTGGATTGCTGAACTCCACTTTTCATGAACTAGAACACATTTATTTTGGATATACACACATCCCTACATACATATATGTACATAAGTCTGAATGTTCAGTGCATTGTTTAATTTTTAACCCTACTTCTAACCAAAGAAGTTTGAACTACATTTAATTTAGCACAAGCTAAAATTTAGCTAATTAGCTAAATGACAAATACATTTAGGACAGTAAGCCTGCTGCTTCTCTGAAAAGCTGTGTAATCCTCATCTGGGATATTGTGGCCTCTTCTCTGAGCTGGGATTGATGTCTGAGCAAAGTCGGAAGGGCAAACCACTCTCTCCTATCCATTGATTTCTTCCCTATGAATTAAACTGTAGAAACTAATGAAGTTTGGGGGTGAAACACACCCACTGAGCTGGGGTAGCCTATGTAAAGCAAACCATCCTTAACCTGATGGGTAGCCGGAGAGGAGCCTGATCACTGCTGGCGGCCCCACTGTGCCCAGACTGTTGCTAATTGTGTGGTAGGTGGGGGGGCTCGGATTGTGCTCACTAGCAAAAATGAATGATGTTAATTTCAGAATTTTGAATGGTTCAAGTTTATTTCAGTGACAAATGGCATCTGATGAAAGAAGGCACTGACTAATGGTGAGCCATGACCAATGCTTAGAGAACAGTGTGGGCTCTTAAATTACGGTTATTACAAAGAAAGAGAGAGTCAGTGCACATGGATTTGTTATCAGAGGCCTACTGTTGGAAAACCACAGCTGTGGTTACTCTGCTGGCAGAGCCTGATGCTGCCACCAGGTGGCGGTAATAATTTGATTAAATTTGAGAGAAAGAAATTTGAGGAAAAGACCAAGGCCACCTCCACCACCAATTAAAACAATTTGCTGCCTTGGGGTGCCTGGGTGGCTTAGTTGGTTAAGCGACTGCCTTCGGCTCAGGTTATGATCCTGGAGTCCCGGGATTGAGTCCTGCATCAGGCTCCCTGCTCAGCGGGGAGTCTGCTTCTCCCTCTGACCTTCCCCCTCTCATGTGCTCTCTCTCTCTCTCATTCTCGCTCTCTCAAATAAATAAACAAAATCTTAAAAAAAAAAAAAATCTACTGTCTTAACAGTCTTCTAGAAAACCTGGAACAGACCATTATGGGACGAGAGGGAGCATGGTCAAAACACAGAGCCTTGTCCGTTCTCCATTCAGTAAATGTATAATTAGGGTACTTCGTATAGGATGCTGATCATTCCCCAGCAAAAGGCACATAGAAAGCTTTTTGTTGATTTGAAAAGAAAACAAATCTACCAAGAACAAAGGGGCAGAGGGAGAGGGGGAAGCAGATTTCCTGCTGAGCAGGGAGCCCAACGACTCGGTGCTTGATCCCAGGATCCCGAGATCATGACCTCAGCCAAAGGCAGACGTTCACCCGACTGAGCCACGCAGGTGCCCTGAGATGGCACGTCTTGGACTGGCAGGACACTGGGTGAAGCCACACTTGACTTAGGATGCCCTCTGTAGTCACTGTCCCAGCCCGCCATCCTCTTTTGATGCGCCTTTCAGGGAAGTTGTGTTGATTGAGGTGACAGCAGTTTAGGGCATGGCTGTTTCTACATCGCAAAACAACAAAAACCAAAATAAAAGAGCTTTAATCTAGTCAAGGCTCATTCTGTGGATGATAGATCTCTTCCAGGAGCTCGGTGTTGGCCTTAGACACAGCATTGTTTCTTCTCTGTGTTAGGACTGCCTCTTACTCAAGCTACTGAAATTCTGACTGCTGAGAACGTTTGACCCTGACAGCTCCCTTCTTTATAGAAAATGCTGCCTGCTTCCCAGAGAACACGGGGGTCATCAAACTGGGGAAGCACCCTTATCTCCTCTTATTCTTTCCAATGCTTTTCCTCCCCTTTTCCTTCCTCTCAGCTGGCTGAGGGGCAAAAGCATAAAAGATCCTTTAGAACTGGTGTTGGGGAATGCGTATATAAACAGGCACAGCAGGGCACAGTTGGTAGAAGTATAACATGGTATCTCTTTTCAGAAGGCGAGATAGCAATAGTTGTTAAAATGTAAAATGTGCCAACCCTTTGATCTGGAAAGTTCACTTCTAGGAATATGTCTTCCAGTGCTATTCACAAAAGTACGAACAGGTAGACATAGAAGACTGTTCGTAGCAGCACTGTACATAAGTGAAAAGCAAAAAATTATAAAACATTCATAATAACAGTACACAGATGATACCAAGGATGTGTGTTTTGATGTGGAAAATGTTCAGAAGTTGCTTAAGTAATTTTGAGCCCTCCTTTGTTAAGTAAAGAGATGTGTGCTGAAAAGCGGTGTAATCGTGTTTTGCCAGTCCTGACACTATGTTTTCGTCATTTGTCACTTGGGTGGCTGAAGTTCATCCTCTAGTTGCTTAGTCAGGAAGGCTCGTGCGGCTGTATTCCCAAAGCTCCTGTGAAAACGTTTTTAGTTTCATACATGAACAGTGGTTAACTGACTGTAGTGTTTTTAGGAACCCCTTTTTGTTTCTAAGGCCATTTTAATCGGTACTTTCTTTCACTGCTGTGTTGTGCCTCTTTGCCAGATGGTCCACTTCCACTGGCTTATTCCCTCTTTTCAACCAAGGAAGCGTTAGTTCCATTTTTTGCTTGACTTATTTCCATGTATTGTCTACGAGTAACCCCTGCTTGCTTCTCCTCATCTGGCTTTCTCAAGATAATCTCAGATTTTCTTGCCGAGGTTTCTGGGTTTTCTTCCCTGGATGGCCCCCAGTACAGTGAGAACGAGTTTCAACGAGTTTTTGGCACTTAGAGGCTGCACTTGCAGCACACTAATTCTGTGTCTCCCTCCAGGTTACCAACATTAAGAAGACACTCAAAGCCACCGCGGCCTCCTCGGCTCAGGAGATGGAGCAACAGTTGGCGGAACGGGAGTGTCCCCCTCACGCTGAGCAGAGGCAGCCCACCAAGAAGATGTCCAAAGTGAAAGGTCTGGTCTCCAGCCGCCACTAGGGCTGGCTGGGGCAGCTGGTACTCACCAGGCCTGGGTCAGGTGGGGAGGGGACACCAAGGGCCTATTTCCTCCCCTCTCTATCTTCCGTGAGTTCCAGACCTGCCCGTCCCCTCACCAGCGCCTCCCACTCTGTTGGTACTGTTCCAGAAGAACCGTTAATCCTTTCCTCCCCCACTCCGTCCTCCCCCAGTTGTTCCTTCAGACTCAGGGGCTCCACTGATGCCATCCCAACAGGGTCAGACACTGCCCAGCTTCCCTCCAGGAGCTTCTTGTCTTTGTTTAAGGGCTTGTCTCCCTCCCAGTTTTTCTTTTGCTCCGTGTCATTTTTGTCAGGCTGGTCGTAAGCCGGAGGCAGCTTTAGCCGGCGCACAGGGATGGCTGCGAAGGAGGCTGCTCTCTGAGTGAGGAGGAGGGTATGCCTTCTCCAGCCCCATGTACCACAGTACCCGCACTGGTGCAGGTGATCTCTAGCCAGGTATCAAATGCTTTGTTTTCCCTCTCCTGCCTTACCCCTTGTTGGCAGCTCCGATCAGGCCACGGAGGGATGTGATGCTGGGCTATGTTTACTAAACCTGCGGGTTTTCAGCCTCTTAAGCCCAGCTCCAATCTCTCATTAGTCAGGAGCACTGGGTTGACTAACCTCTCGTATCTGAGCACCCGTGGAGGGTGCTGCGGGTCTGCTGGGTGGCAGAAGTTTCTTCTGGTTTGGTGTTCTTTGCTGGCCATGCTTCCTGCCCTGCTGCCCCCCGACTCCTCAGCCTGGTTTTCAGTGTGAAGGCCCCAGCTGCCGCCCGGAACTGTCTGCCGACACTTGCTGTCCTGAGACCCTTTATCCCTCCCGGCGGTGTCCGAGCTGGGGACGGTCGTGCTGAGGGCCCTCTGTCTGCTGAAGGACCTGCTGCTGCTTCTGTCTCTCTCTTTCCACCCCTCCTTGGCTGATGACCCAGAGCCCTCTGATGATGGCATTCTCCTGGCAAGAGAAAAGGACTTGACTAGCCTTTCTGAACTTGAACAGTTTCAGGTTATATTTTAGTTTTTTTTTTTTTTGTACAGGTTCTGATTCTAATACATTTCAACATGCTTTTTTTCCCCCTTGTGTCAATATTTGTTAAACTAATCGCCGGTGATTTTTCACCTGGTTGGAGGGTGGTGTGTGTGTTTGTGTGTGTGTGTGTGTGTGTGTGTGTGTGTGTGTGTGTTTTTTAAGGGGAGGTGGAGGTCCTGAACTGATAATTAAAGTTCAATGAGAGAAAAAGCACATTTAAAACAAAAAATAAAAGTGTAGATTTAATGTATGTGACTGTGGAGTGCAGGGTTGTGTAGCTGGTGGATCTGGAGGGTCTGGGATTAGGGTGGTTCAGGGAGAATGTGACACTCTTTCTGTTCCATGGATAAAAAATGGGTTTCTCCTTTTTCCAAACTGTCCAGCAGGTGTTGACTGTGGATTGAATGTCAACAAAGTATTGTTTCCCTTTTTACCCGGTCCGTGTGCCCATATAACCTTACGCTCAACTAGAGAGTTTAACTCCCAAATTATGTTTCATGAAACCCCTTGACAGATGCTCTGTGGAAAAGGGGTTCTGTTGTTAAATAAATTTCACACATCCTACATCCTCATTGGAAATTCATTTTAAGGTCTCCGAAAAGGCCTGGGTGAGGAAGCCTATTCCCACACTGATTTCACCGCCAAATTCTTCTTGTGGAACTATCCACTATCTAGTGGAACACACTTTGAGGACATTTTTGGAAACATTATCTGTTTCTCAAAAACACCTCCCAGCCTTGTAGGTTTTTACAGCTATACTTTCTAGACCTAAAACAGGCACTGTCACTCTTGGCAACTGGTTTTTCATCCTTATCTTTCGCACTGGGGAGCAGACTAGGAAGCCTGGCTTGACTTGTGTGAAATGTGTGACCACTTGTTTGACTGCCCCAGGGCCCTGAGGAGCTTTAGGTTCATCTTCTTTATGGTTCTGCTGCTTGCTTCCTTAAAAATAGTAATGGCAGTACTAAGAACACATTTGTGAAGTGCTCTATAAAGTGTCTTCATGTATAATAAGCCACTGAATCCCATCCACTCAAAACAATCTCCTCAGGCCGTAAGGGTTCTCACTTTACATATGAGAAAAGGGGATTCAGAGACTCAAAGTACTCTGACTGTAAGTGCAAGCAGGCTCCTAGGTCTCCCGGCTCATGCATCCTGCCATCTTCTCTGTGTTACAGTCTAATTTAGTCGGGTCCCCATGTGCTCGCTTAAGCAGCACATATACTAAAATTAGTCTGCTCCCCAGATGGGCCTTTGGCATCCTTTTACCTGCTTAAGGTAAAGGGCTCATCTTGCTTTTAACTGACACCCAACACACCACAGTCTCTGCTCCCCAAACCCACTTAGCCACTTTGTAAGGAATCAGGGTGGATGGGGCTGGGGCTCTAGGAATTGTGGGGGCAGCTGGGATATTCATTGCTCTGTTGGGTTCCCCATCTGCCATGTTCTGATGGCTGGGCTGTCTGAAATATGCATAGGTGTTTTACTTCCAGTGTTCAGGAGAGGTGTCCTCATCAATAGGGCAACATCTTAGGAAGGAGACACTGCAGCATTAAGCAGCATTAGCTAGGGAGCAGTGCCTCTAGCCGCCCTTTTTAAGCTGTTGGCTTCCTGAAGTCCTCTGGTCTTTACTGTCTGTCCAAATGAGAGGCCTTCTGGTTCCTGCTTGGGTAACATTAGGGAGGTAGTCAGAGCCCCGAGTATAGGCTGTTCTTGTGTTTCAAATCTGAGATGACCACTGCTAATGGGAGGCTCTCCCCTTCACCCCATACTTTTGAATTACAGAAAATGGGGGTGGTGACCAAAGATTCTAAGATGATTAACAACTTGTGATATACTACGTATTTGCTGGTTTCTCTATCTGATGTGCTGGGTTGCTGGAAACCAAATCATGTTCCAGTTCTTATAATTAGAGTCATTATTCTAACAGCCTGAGACTTCAAACACTTTTGAAATGCAGCAATTGATTGATTTTTACTGGACCTGAGGGCTTGTCATATATGTATTTGAGTTTCAAGTAACAGCATACTTTGATCATTCTGTGACCGTGCCTGTGTCTTCCTGGGCATTCTGCATACAGCCATGAGCATCTGATCACTTCAGTAAGTCTTTTCTGGTAGTTATGCTTGAGATTTACAGATTGAAATCTATTTTTTATTATAAATTTCACTTTGCATCTCCATTACATTACCCTGAGGACATTAAATGGATCATTTAAACTTATGTTTGTTAGGCAGGTTATCTATGACTTGACCTCAGGACAGTAAAGGTGTTCATTATATAAAGGGACTGTTGGGTCTTTTCAGGATAAGAACTGTTGTTCTTAGTTGTTAAGGATAAAACAAGGAAGTAAGTGATGGAGAAGGGAAAGATAGGGTGCGGCCCAACTCTTTTTGGGGTCATTTATGCCTGTCCTTTCATTGCTTTTCCCTAGTCAGAGATTCATTTAGTTACTTACCTTTCCAGATTTTCAGTTTCACAGGAAATGGCATGGAACCATGGGAGTGAATTACAGAACCTATGGAGAACATACATAAGTAATAGAGGAAGGTCACAATGGAACTCTGGCAAACACCTCCAGCTGGACTCTAAAAGAAGAGCGATGCCCCTGAGGAAATTTTATTTTTATTTATCTATTTTTAAAGATATATTTGAGAGAGAGGGAGAGAGGATCCCAAGCAGACTCCCCACTGAGCTTGGAGCCCGATGTGGGGCTCGATCCCACTACCGTGAGATCCTGACTTGAGCCAAAATCAGGAGTCGGATGCTCAACTGACTGAGCCACCCAGGCGCCCCATAATTCTACTTTTCGTTTTGTTTTGTTTTTTAATTTATTAAGTAGGCTCCATGGCCAACGTGGGGCTTGACCTCATCACCCTGAGATCAAGTCGTGTGCTCTACCAACTGAGCCAGTCAGGCGCCCCTCGCCCCTAAAGAAATTTTAGAATGGGCAGAGAAACACAAGGAACACCGAAAGAGATTGGGAACTCCTACAGCACCTCATGTTGCTGCTGGAGAAGTCCCCCGACTGCAGGGTGGTGCTGCTATATGTCTGTTGTGTCTCTTGTCTAAACGCAACCGGGTCCTCAGAGCTGTTGGGCCGTCCCATCGTCTGTCCTGAGGCAGTGTGTGCTCACTGCCTACAGCCGGTCTAGTTGCACCGTTCTTTTAAAGCGGTGTGCCTCACCCCTCACTCGGTGGATGACTGGATTTCCTGCTTCACAGTGAAAAGAACACTAGGTTTTCTCCAGCTACGGAATCATCTGTTCCAGCCTTACCTGCTTTGTTCCTATCGAAGTGGAAAAGGTATCCCTCCTTCTGTGTGAGTAATTCGTCAGCTGTGCCATGTCGATCTGCCTCTCCTGTCCCCAGAGTTTTCTGCCTCTGTCGTTCCCCACTAACTGCTATGTGTGATAAGAAATTGTGTACTTTAACTCTCCCTGAACCTGATGTCCAGAGCCACCACCTTTTTTCTCTTTTAACAATCAAGCTCTAGGGGCGCCTGGGTGGCTCAGTCGTTAAGCGCCTGCCTTCGGCTCAGGTCATGATCCCAGGGTCCTGGGATTGAGCCCCACGTCGGGCTCCCTGCTCAGCGGGAAACCTGCTTCTCCCTCTCCCTCTGCCCCTGCTTGTGTTCCCTCTCTCAATATCTCTCTCTGTCAAATAAATAATTAAAATATTAAAAAAAAAACACACAAGCTCTAGGGCTGTCTGCCCTTTCTGTCTCTACTTCCTTCCTCACGCCTAAATATGACCTGAGCCGAAATCAAGAGTCTGACGCTTCACGGGCTGCCTCCCAGGCACCTCTATCTGCCTTCATCTTTATGTTATAGTTGGCTCTGTTGAGCCCACTTATTTAAGTGTTATTTTAGTTTTCATGGTCGTAATCTCTAGATTTGCCTTGTGTTACCCTGCCTCTTCTAAAATTTCTTCAGGGGCATCTCTTTAGAGTCTTAGTAGTAGGCATTTGCTAGGGTTCCATCATGACCTTTTTTTTTTTTCTTTCAAGATTTTATTTGAGAGCGCGCGAGAGAGTGCAGTAGCAGGGAGGAGGGGGAGAAACAGAGGGAGAAGTAGGCTCCCCACTGAGCAGGGAGCCTGATGCAGTACTCTTTATTTGAGGACCCTGGGATCATGACCTGAGCTGAAGGCAGACGTTTAACCAACTGAGTCACCCAGGTGCCCCTATGGTGACCTTCTTATTTTATTTCTATACATTCTCCATAGGTTCTGTGATTCACTCCCATGTTCCACTTCTATTCATAATACCCAAATCTCTGTCTCCACTCATTCTGCCACCGTGTGTAGTCAGCAGCTGAGGTGGGGGCATCTCTACGTGCCGTTTTCCAGCTCTACTCAGTAAATGGCACCCACCAGTTGTCAAGTGTACTGTTTTGTAGGGCTGGCATAACAAAATACCACAGACTAAGGGCTTAAACAAAAGAAGTTTATTTCCTCACAGTTCTGGAGGCTGGAAGTCCAAGATCAAGGTGTTAGCAAACTTGATGTCTCCTGAGACCTCTCTCCTGGGCTGGCAGATGGTCACCTCACTGGGGCCTCACGTGGCCTTTCCTCTGTGCGTGTGCATCCCTGGTATCTGTCTTTTCTTATAAGGATTCCGGTCATACTGGATTAGGACCCCACTTTTATGAGTTCATTTAACTTTAATTACCTCTTTAAGCCTATCCCCAAGTATGGTCACATTAGGGTTAGGGCTTCAACACATTTTTGGGAGAACATAAATTTCCGCCTCTCCATACTTCTCTCCTGTGCGGCAGCAGCCTCCCCTGCCAGCAGTCCAGCCTCCCGCTGCCTCCCTCGTGATCTTTCAAACTGCAGTGGCTTCCCCTCCCTAAAGTCCAGGTTTCTGTCACAGGTCCCTCCCCTTCTCACCCCATATGCTCCAGTCTCCCTGAGCTTCTGTGGTTCAGAGAGCGCCATGGCCATCTGCGCCATAGGACCTCTTTACCTTTGTGCAGTTTGCTCGGTCTGGGTTTCCTCCCTCCCCTGCCCCTGTCCAGCTGGCAAATGCTCATCCGTGAAAGCTCCCATTGCCGGGCATAACCCCTAGCTGCACCATTTGGTACCCTACACCTTTTTCGGTGTTCCCACCTATTTCTTGCATTACAGTCCTTTGTAATTTATTTGCCCCCCTACTAGACTGTGAGCTGCTTGAGAGCAGGGGTTGTGCTCCCTTCTCACGCCTCCATGGTGCCCCGTGTAAGGAAAGCCTTCCCCAGCCCAGAATGCCTGTGCTACCGGAACTGGCAGAGGCTCAGCCTGGTGCGGGTGTGGGTGGATGGAGGCTGCTGCAGTTACCTGGAGCTCCAGAAGGTGGAGCCACACTCCACTGTTGTGGGGTGCTAGTGGACCACGGACTGGCATCCTGTCACTGCCAACAACCGATCAGCAGGATCTTGTCCCCCAGCGTGGAGGCCTGCGCCAGTCTAGGCTTGTCCGGGGGAACTGCTAGCACCTGAGCACTTACTGTGTGCTGGGTTAAGCACTTCTAATGGGTGGCTTATTGGATCCTCACAAGAACTGTAAGGTAAGTACTATCATAA